GTTTATACACCAATGAGACAAAGTTTTTCCGATGGGTATAAACAATATACAACCTTACGGTCATACACCAATGATACAGTTATTCAGTTGGTATAAACCTTCTACAACGTGCATATACCAATGAGACAATTATGTAATGGGTATATTACCCTATATATACAACGTTCATACAACAATGAGACAGAGTTATTTGATGGATATAGACCCTATACAACGTTCATACACCAATGAGACAGTTATTTGATGGATATAGACCCTATACAACGTTTATACACCAATGAGACAGCAATATTTGATGGGTATATACCCTATACAACGTTCATACACCAATGAGACAGAGTTATTCGATGGGTATAAACCCTATACAACGTTCATACACCAATGATTCACAGTTATTCAACGGGTATAAACCCTATGCAACAGTCATACACCAATGAGACACAGTTATATAATGGGTATATACCCTATACAACGTTCATACACCAATGAGACAGAGATATCTGATGGGTATAAACCCTATACAACGTTTATACACCAATGAGACAGAGCTATTCCATGGGAATAAACCCTATACAACGATCATACACCAATGATACACAGTTAATCAGTTGGTATAAACCCTATACAACGTTCATATACCAATGAGACACAGTTATATAATGGGTATATACCCTATACAACGTTAATCACCAATGAGACAGAGTTATTCAATGGGTATAAACCCTATATTCGTTCATACACCAATGAGACAGAGTTATTCGATGGGTATAAACCCTATATAACGTTCATACACCAATGAGACAGAGTTATTCGATGGGTATAAACCCTAAACAACGTTCATACACCAATGAGACAGAGTTATTCGATGGGTATAAACCCTATATAACGTTCATACAACAATGAGACAATTATGTAATGGGTATATACCCTATACAACGTTCATACACCAATGAGACAGCGATATTTGATGGGTATATACCCTATACAACGTTCATACATCAATGAGACAGAGTTATTAGATGGGTATAAACCCTATATAACGTTCATATACCAATGAGACAAAGTTATTCGATGGTTATAAACCCTATACAACGTTCATATACCAATGAGACACAGTTATATAATGGGTATATACCATATACAACGTTCATACACCAATGAGACAGAGTTATTCGATGGGTATAAACCCTATACAACGTTTATACACCAATGAGACAAAGTTTTTCCGATGGGTATAAACAATATACAACCTTACGGTCATACACCAATGATACAGTTATTCAGTTGGTATAAACCTTCTACAACGTGCATATACCAATGAGACAATTATGTAATGGGTATATTACCCTATATATACAACGTTCATACAACAATGAGACAGAGTTATTTGATGGATATAGACCCTATACAACGTTCATACACCAATGAGACAGTTATTTGATGGATATAGACCCTATACAACGTTTATACACCAATGAGACAGCAATATTTGATGGGTATATACCCTATACAACGTTCATACACCAATGAGACAGAGTTATTCGATGGGTATAAACCCTATACAACGTTCATACACCAATGATTCACAGTTATTCAACGGGTATAAACCCTATGCAACAGTCATACACCAATGAGACACAGTTATATAATGGGTATATACCCTATACAACGTTCATACACCAATGAGACAGAGATATCTGATGGGTATAAACCCTATACAACGTTTATACACCAATGAGACAGAGCTATTCCATGGGAATAAACCCTATACAACGATCATACACCAATGATACACAGTTAATCAGTTGGTATAAACCCTATACAACGTTCATATACCAATGAGACACAGTTATATAATGGGTATATACCCTATACAACGTTAATCACCAATGAGACAGAGTTATTCAATGGGTATAAACCCTATATTCGTTCATACACCAATGAGACAGAGTTATTCGATGGGTATAAACCCTATATAACGTTCATACACCAATGAGACAGCGATATTTGATGGGTATATACCCTATACAACGTTCATACATCAATGAGACAGAGTTATTCGATGGGTATAAACCCTATATAACGTTCATATACCAATGAGACAAAGTTATTCGATGGGTATATACCCTATACAACGTTCATATACCAATGAGACACAGTTATATAATGGGTGTATACCATATACAACGTTCATACACCAATGAGACAGAGTTATTCGATGGGTATAAACCCTATACAACGTTTATACACCAATGAGACAAAGTTTTTCCGATGGGTATAAACAATATACAACCTTACGGTCATACACCAATGAGACAGTTATTTGATGGATATAGACCCTATAAAACGTTTATACACCAATGAGACAATTATGTAATGGGTATATTACCCTATACAACGTTCATACACCAATGAGACAGTTATTTGATGGATATAGACCCTATACAACGTTTATACACCAATGAGACAGCAATATTTGATGGGTATATACCCTATACAACGTTCATACACCAATGAGACAGAGTTATTCGATGGGTATAAACCCTATATAACGTTCATACACCAATGAGACAGAGTTATTCGATGGGTATAAACCCTAAACAACGTTCATACACCAATGAGACAGAGTTATTCGATGGGTATAAACCCTATATAACGTTCATACAACAATGAGACAATTATGTAATGGGTATATACCCTATACAACGTTCATACACCAATGAGACAGCGATATTTGATGGGTATATACCCTATACAACGTTCATACATCAATGAGACAGAGTTATTCGATGGGTATAAACCCTATATAACGTTCATATACCAATGAGACAAAGTTATTCGATGGGTATATACCCTATACAACGTTCATATACCAATGAGACACAGTTATATAATGGGTATATACCATATACAACGTTCATACACCAATGAGACAGAGTTATTCGATGGGTATAAACCCTATACAACGTTTATACACCAATGAGACAAAGTTTTTCCGATGGGTATAAACAATATACAACCTTACGGTCATACACCAATGAGACAGTTATTTGATGGATATAGACCCTATACAACGTTTATACACCAATGAGACAATTATGTAATGGGTATATTACCCTATACAACGTTCATACACCAATGAGACAGTTATTTGATGGATATAGACCCTATACAACGTTTATACACCAATGAGACAGCAATATTTGATGGGTATATACCCTATACAACGTTCATACACCAATGAGACAGAGTTATTCGATGGGTATAAACCCTATATAACGTTCATATACCAATGAGACAAATTTATTTGAGGTGTATAAACCCTATACAACGTTCATACACCAATGAAACAGAGCTATTCGAGCTATCAGATAAGCATAGAACCTATATAACGTTCACATATCAATGAAACAGTTTTTTCGATAAGTAAACTCTATACAACCTTCATGCACCTAAATGAGTCGGAGTTAGTTAAAAGCCCTCATACATTGTTTATACACCTATGAGACAGAGTTATTCGATTGTTCCTTGTTGAAAGCCAGATAATCTTTAATTGCTTAAATCCACAATCTCTGTTGGATCAAGGTCATATACACCAAACAATCGTACCACACACTAAATCTGATAGTTGATAACATCTGAGAAATCAAAGTACCGGCAAGTATGAAAATTGATCATTGACCAATGAACCATACAAATGAGTTCAATATCAGACCATATATAATGTACAGATTGCAATCATTCCATACATCATATACTGTTGACTTACTGCTTACAGTATCTAAGAAACAGACCAAACTGTGAGAATTTAACATTAACCAATGAACCATAAAAATATGGTACAGTTCATGTAGCTGTCAGACTGACTTGTACACCTTACAATCATTCGATACACCAAAATATAGTGTTTCATCACAGGGGAGACAAAATAAAACAAATGCATTCAATCAGAACTATACAAGAGATATCAAATAAATATCTTCAAGCCTGACGAAAAAGTGTGGAAAACTGTTAACTTGATCTGATAGTCCGACAAACGGCGTGCAAACCTATAGTTCCCTTTGACTTCATCAGTAAGGTACTAATAACTTGCATATAATACTGGGTTCAAACTAGTAATATTTTTTGGCACAAACTTTATTTCATACAATGTCATTTCAGTCAACATGAGTCACAAACATTACAATTTATAAATCAACTAGTTAATGTTCTTGTTGCATCTATGCTAATAAGCAATGAAAGTTTGTGAGGGCTTTTCCACTAAAATGTATGTGGGTTTTTGTTAAAACAATATTTTTTGCATAATTTGGCAAAATTTATGACTATTCTAAAAAAATTAACAGATTTGCCACCATAATTTGCTGAAATATTCATATATATATAGTGTTCTTTACTTTTTAACCAGCATGTCAATGGGTGAGGAGTGGAGCCACATATAAAATCTAGAAAAAGATAAAATAAAGGTGCAACATTTATACAAAAATGGACTAAAACAAAATCTGTCCCATGGAATACATAATAGGCCTATATTATTTATCAATTTTTGCTGACGTCCTAATACAAGTTACTAAATTTATCTTAATACATCTATATATAAGTTTTTGTTAAAATGCTGTTATAAGAAGACATTTCTAAAAATTTATGATGCACAACTGTGGATAATAATAATAATAACCAAAATAAAAAATTATGTAGTCTCAGCATAAATTGACCACATATTTATGCTAATTTGCACTCATTACTGTTCATGAATCCACGATATGCTGGACACACTAATATGATGACCTAGCAATATGTTGACCGCATTAAAATAATAAATGCAACAAAGGAGCAGGGGCAATAAGCCCCTTATTTGGCCCAAATATTACTGCAAATTTAAAAGTTATCATACATATCCTTAAATTTGTCCTAACTAGACTAAGGTACAAGGTTTTCAGAAAATAAAAACAAATTTCACATTAAACGAGCTACCATGGCAACAAACCATGACGAAATTTGTATATTTTATAAAATTTCTTGAATTTCCTTGTTTTTCATCAAATTCTAAGTATATTTAAGATTGGCAAAGTATGTGCGCACCCAAGAAACAACTTTATATTTGGTGAGATTATTTCAATAGTTATAATAAAGCTTCTCTTAAATTATTTTGTTGTTTCTTGGCTGCGCACGATGTTTCCGTAATGGAAATAACGATGAAAAATTGCGAAAATTCTGCATTTTTCATCTTTTTCATGAAAACGGTACATATTATGACGTAACTGTGACGTCATCATATAAACAATCTTATGTTTTTCATTTATATTTCTTCACTCAATGCATTTCCAAACATTATGTGCCAATTTGAAAAAGTTGTCAAAAATTTTATTTTCTTGTGCCAAAACTGGGCCTTAATGCCCCTACTCCTTTACCTCAGAATCAATACTAACATTACCTCAATTTGTGATGGAGTATGCACTGTAGAGGCCTTATTTTGAATTTGAAATTTTCATGAAATGTATTTCAGACTATTCAAAATAAATAGATTATCATAAATGGCAAAACATTTTGAATCCCACAGAATAAAAACAATTGATTTATTTTTAAAATTAAAAAATTGGTAAAAAAATCATCTAAATTTAATGTGAATAGATATTTGTAATTAAAGTTTCCTCTAATGAACAAATTTTACCAGGTATATTTGTTTATATGGCAAAGATAACAATGATACCATTAGGCCAACTAAAATTAATAAGAAGATTTTCATCCAGATTTTTGAAAAAAATGGGGCGGGTGGGAGGATTTATTTTTTTAATTTTTATTTCCTCCTTAACCATTTTGAGACGTGTTGTTCATATACACAATGTACAAGGGTAATAATAAGCTTATATCATGTTTATATAAGGAATTCTACATTTTTGTTTTAATTCTTAAATCAATATTTCCGATTGGCAACCATTGTTCTACATGTAATTGCCGCTTTAGAAACCGATTTTTAGTAAATAGCAAAAACGTGGAAAAATGTTCTCTTTTAGACTACATAGATCATTTTTTGCTTTCTAAGTTATGATTTATAGTGCCCATAAAATGAAGCATATGCATTGGTATGCAACACAAATATTATGAGTACAGAGTGAAATGAAAACTCAAACTGTGTTGAAAATACTAGGGTTCATGCTTTTAAGATTCTTATGCAAGGTGCAAATATAATTACAATGTAAAACATGAACTGAACCAAAAAAAAAAAGTTATTTAATAACTCTATTGAAGGGCTGAAATGACAGCTTTGGAGGTAAATCTAAGCCATGGCAGCTATAATACATTTTGTACGTTGGCCGACTCTTTGTACTCAATATACGGTCATAAATCGCACAAGTTTGTGCTTGTGTTAATTTCTTTATTCCAGTCATGATTTTGTATCAATGTGTTCCACGATTTTTGCGCTTTGGATATCATTCACAGTCTAAATTTCCTTACACAATGTCATTGTATAAATAAAATAATCGACGGTTTTATATTCACTGAAATTTGTGACAAACCGTGATTACCGTTCTTGGACAACGCCAATTACTCGTAAGCCGAATAATTTATGTCCTTCTAGTAATCAATCTATATTCTCAAAAGATAATGTTGTCATCATTGAGCAGAAGAATATGTCGACTTATATTACTCGAAGAAATACGAAAACCGAAATTTGAAAAAGGAAGTTTTAATGAATCGAAATTATCGGCGGTTACCGGTAACGTAAATGAACAAAATCCGGAAATCGTATATTTTTAAAAATAAAAAAAATCGCAGCGGGACATTTTCAGAGGGGCGGGCGGGGATGAAAATCTATCAATTAATTTTAATTGGCCTTATTTGACTGCCAAAATTTGGTGATCATATACAAAAGAAATATTAAGTGCATTTCAAATATGAAATTCTTGTATATCTGTATCTTTCCTCTATCAATTTTCTTCCAAAATGACCTGAAAATAAAATCATTGTTTCATGGCTATTATTAATTATAATACTTTTAATAAATGAAATGCAAAACCACCTGTTAGTGCTAAAATTGAATTTTTCAATTTGAATTATCAACCTACTTTAATAAAGATTTTTTTCACATCTCCCCTCTGATTATAGAATCCATCTGCAAGAGATAGTTTAATTTGCAAAAACTAATCTATGAAGAGTATAAAAATAATGTTACTAGCTACAGATAGTAAAATGTATTTTGTTTCGATAATGAAAAATTTGATGTCATATCCAGAATGAGCAGGTAGGCATTTCAATGTGTGGTTTATCATTAACATCTACATCATAAGGTCTCTGGTGGAGAGTTGTCTCATTGGCAAACTTAATACCACATCTGATATCTAGCTGGGTTAGAGTAATATAGATAATTTATCACAGGTTTTTTTGTGTTTATCAACTTGAAATAGATAAAATTTGAAATCTATTTTTTTTATACTAAAACATATAAGGGCTGTTCCAGAAAATACTATGTCCCCCAAAAAACATATAAGGGCTGTTCCAGAAAATATTATGTCCCCCCAGTGAAGGTATTTTTTTAAAAATTTTATGTGGGTGGTTGTATTTGAAATACCAAAATGCAAAGGGAGTGTTGTTCTAATTAATTTTTATTTCTGTGGGTGGTGGTGGTAAAAAAAAATGCTGTCCCTGTTGTAATATGAAAAAATAATTTGTTTTATTTTGTGAAAAAAAATATAGTCTAACGTAAGAAAAAGTTTCTTTTACAAGGGATAACAGATATGATATGCAATGCAACTAAAACACACTAGACTACAAGATATATTTACTTTGTTTGATATTTAAAATTCATGATTTCCCTATACCTTTGAAATCAACAAAGAAACTAATGAAATGCTTCGCTGAGCGCAGCCTGATACGACCGCAGAGGGAGAACCATGAACAGTTGGGGCAAATTTGGACACAATATTCAAGCTTGCTACTGTCTGAATTTGGATTCTGATCAAATTTTTGACATAATATAGGTTTCTGACAAGAAACAAATGTTGTCAAAGATCTTAAAAATCAATTGCGCAATACTGTGCATTTAAAGATTTCTTCTTAAAACTTTACAAAAAATTTGAAATTAAAAAAAGTTTGAACCCCCCCCCCCCCTGGAGCAATTACCCCCAAACTCAAATCCAGCCTTCCCTTTGTAGAATGGAACCATGTAGGCAAATTTTAGAGAGATCCATACACTTAAACACAAATTATTGTCTGGAAACTAGAAAACAAAACTTGTTTTTGGCCCCTTTTTTGCCCCTGAGTCCTGCATGTTTGGGGCAATTAATTACCCCCAAACTCAATCACAGCCTTCCCTTTGTGATATGGAACCTTGTGGTATAATTTCAGAGAGATCCATTGTCCCATGAAATTGTGTCTTCTTGAACTATATTTCACAGTTCATCTGTGAAATTTCGTTCACGGGACAGAATATCAATATTGTAAACTAAAATTTGTAAGGGTTCCGCGGAACCCAGTGTCTCGCCTACTTTTTCTGTTAATCACAGGCTCAACAAAAATGAGGAAGTAAATCAATAAAAATATTCCTCTTGATACTATCTTTTGATTGTAAGAAGCTTCTGTCCAAGTTTGGTAAAAATCCAGGATAGTTTATGAATCTAATAAATGTTTAAAAACTTTAACTGCAGACTGAATGTAATGTTAACTGGAAGAAAACAAAATTTCCTTCTAGATACTAGCATTTGATCATAAACAAGCTTCTGTCCAAGTTTGGTACAAATCCAAAATAGTATAAGAACGTTATAAAAATTTTAAAAACTTAAACCACAGAGTGAATGTTTTGTTTCCTGGCAGAAAATCTAAGTCCATTTAAAATTAAAATACGGAAAAAATGGATTTATTTTTTTATAAAATTTCCTTCTAGATACTAGCTTTTGATCATAAACAAGCTTCTGTCAAAGTTTGGTACAAATCCAAAATAGTATAAGAAAGTTATTAAAATTTTATAAACTTTAACCACAGAGTGAATATGTTGTTTCCTGGCAGAAAATCTAAGTCCATTTAAAAGTAAAATAAGGAAAAAATGGATTAATTTTTTTACAAAATTTACTTCTGGATACTATCTTATGATCATAAACAAGCTCCTGTCCAAGTTTGGTACAAACTCAGGATAGTTTAAGAAAGTTATTAAAATTTTATAAACTTTAACCACAGAGTGAATATGTTGTTTCCTGGCAGAAAATCTAAGTCCATTTAAAAGTAAAATAAGGAAAAAATGGATTAATTTTTTTACAAAATTTACTTCTGGATACTATCTTATGATCATAAACAAGCTTCTGTCCAAGTTTGGTAGAAATCCAGGATAGTTTAAGAAAGTTATTAAAATTTGAAAAACTTTACCACAGAGTGAATATTTGTGGACGCCGCCGACGGAATGTAGGATCGCTATGTCTCGCTTTTTCGACTTAAGTCGAAGGCTCGACAATAAAATAGTGTCTCCCTTAGTGAAAAATTGTCCCTAGTACTTGGACATAATTTCATAGATGTTTTATAAAAATATGTCACATGGGAAACTTTTCATAGTGTAGCTGTTTTTTCTGTCCCTAAAGAAGGGACATAATTTAGCAATCATTGAAATGTTTTAATCAATTAGTCAAATCATAATTGAAATTTAAATCAAGACAACAGATGTGAACAAATATGGAAAGTGGTGAATATAAACAGCTATATGACTTTTTGTTTGATGGTCAATACCCTCCAGAGTTTAATAATAATGAAAGAAGATCATTTAGAAGGAAGGCCAAGCAATTTGAAATTAAAAACAATGAAATGTTTTATATACATGCCTTTTAGACCCAAACGTATGCGCAAGAAGAAGCGACAATCGAGTATTTATGAATATTATTCATGATATTATTGATCTTGTTAAAAATGACAATCCAAAGATGTTAAAACAGTTCATTGATTCCTACTGTATATTTAAAAACAAATGTCGATTTAGTCTTATTATTTATTGTAATTAAATTGTTTGGTATTAGACAAGACTTTTATGCAATTTGGACATGATTTCACTACGAAAAAATATCCATCAAAGGTTAAAATAGAATATCTTTTCAAGGGACACTTTTACACAGAAGTGGACAATATTTTATAATAAAATTCTGTCCTGGACAAAATTTCACAGGTCATATCCGTGAAATTTTGTCCATGGGACATAATTTCATGGGGGACACTATTTAATCCTACACATACACTTACACACAAGTTTATTGTCCAGAAACTATAAAAATACTTGTTTTTGGCCCCTAAATCCTGAACTGTTGGTACCATAACACCAAAAATCAATCCCAACCTTCCTTTTGTGGTATTGAACCTTCTTGTAAAATTTCATGGAGATCAATTCACTTTAACTAAAGTTATTGTCCAGTAACCAAATGTGTCATCAGACAACGACGACAACGACAGCATCATAGCATTATGCAAACCCCAAAATATTTTTGCAGTCATATAAAAAAACATGAGGTTGTCAGGTGTAGGGCCTGTCTTGCATATTTTAGTGATGCACATAAACAAATACTTAATTCTGTCCCAAACAAAAGAGAAACATTTAATACAGTTTCAGGTTTCATAAATTTTGACACCAGAAACTAGACCATTTTTGATATTTAAGTGCTCACAAGTTAAACCAAGTTAAATTATCTCTACATCTATACAATTGTCATATGTGGAGCAGGATCTGCCTACCCTTCCAGATCACCTGAGAACACTCCCAGTTTTTGGTGGGGTCCTTGTTGCTCAGTCTTTACTGTTATATGTTTTGTGCACTATTGGTTGTCTGTTGGTCTTTTGAATGTTCATTTGGTATCGTTCACTTCTCTTCTATTATAGCTTTTGATATATTAAGGAAAAAATGCAATATATAAAGAGAAAAATAAAAATAAATAATTGTGGATTTCTTGAATTAAATAAGTCAGTTTCCTGATAGATGGAAAACTCTATGCAAGAACTCAATAGAAGGTAAGCCAAAGGAGAGATTTTTTGTTACATATTGTTAATATTCCTTGGTTAAGTGCTCACAAGTTAAACCAAATTAAAATCTGTATGTGCTTGTCCAAAATCTGGAACCAGGAGCCTGAAATTCAGTGGTTAGTTTCCATATTAATTGTTTTTCATTTTATTTTGTCATAAATCTGGTCGTTATTCTTTTTAATTTGTCAAGTTCAGATCTTTAATACTCATTGTTGAAGGCATTATTTATTGTCCCTTATATCCACATCATTTGTGGATAGCTGTCATATTGGTAATCATACCACATCTCTATCTTTTTACATTCAACACTCACTTAATTAAGTTAAAACAACATTTGTAACTAAGGAAAGAGAAAATTAAGATATAAATAAACAGAATAAACTTGGGTAATTTACAAATCTATTATTTTCCTTTGTAATACTGTAAAACATCATATATAATATCATCTTATACACCGACATCAACAATGTCAATATGAAGTGGAAATGAAGTATTAATGCTTGACATTTACTGAAGCAATCCTCTTTACCACAGGAATTTTATACAATGCTGGTAATGTAATCATACTGACCATTTGTTTTCAATTTCCAGTATCAGAAGAACTTCCAGTAGGTTTTTCAATGACCCAGCAAGGATTCACCTGAAAGAAGTAGACATTTTTTAATATAATTTTGACAGATTGGGGAAAAAGCATGTTCCACAGTATAACTGTGAATAATGACAATCTATTCCTGGCATATCAATACAAATAATGACCTAGCTTCTACAGTTCACATTTAGAAAAAAAATAACTGGTATGCATAGGACTTTACATTTAAATGAATATTTTTTGTGATGTTTATTTTTTAATTATTGTGAAAATTGTGATAGGTATATATAGGTTGAGCATAAAATATTGACAAGTTATTTTAATCACAGCTTTTTGATATACGGTCTGTCCATCAAGCCATAACATAAAATGGGAAATCATAGTTATATTCTAAAATGAGATGCAGGTCAAAACAAATTGTGTTTCAGAGAGAGGATATATCAAGTTGTCCAGAAAAACAGAAGATAGTTTGATCAAATTATGGCAATTGACATTTGTAGCATATTAGGTTTTGGTCTAGAGAATCACTTAAAAAAGACTTGATATGAGTTGTCAAATACACATCTGTTGCAGCGCCAGATCATTGTAACTATTTAAAATCTTATAACTACTACTAGGTCGATATATCTGTAAGTGAACTGCAAGTCCCAGAGAGTATCACAAGCCAAGTTGCCAGTACTAAGGGCACGCTAAAACGGTTATTGATTGATTGATTTTTTTATCTAATAAAACTTTAAAATCATTTAAATTAATGAATACATGTACATGTTTTACCTCTTTAAGTATACTCAATACCAATCAATATTTACCCTCAATTTAAACTTTTGCGAAACACTATCAAACTTTCAAGCAACATTTAGATATAGTTGCTGTCCCCATCAACAGATCAACATAGCTAGCAGCAGACTAATTCTCGTAAACAACATGTTTACAGAGAAATTAACAGAAATCGATTTTACTTATTTCAGCCATATTGGGATAGTGGTAACTGCAGTTTCTATGATCAGTTTAACACCAGTGATGATTTTCTTTTTTTTAAATCAAAATCAACAGCTATTATCATTGAAATATTCTGCAGTTACAATTAATCTTTCAAGTGATTTGTCCACAAGTTACCATTATCTTTTTATTTAAGTTACGATTATCTTCCTAAAATATTTGATGGATATTATTTCGGTAATGAGGCCATACATGATATTTATAACACACATACACAACAAAACCATACAGATCAACCTGGCGGCTGAGTAGTTCTTGAAAACAACACATTTAAACGGAAAATTAGCAGAAATCGATTTTACTTATTTCTACCTCCGCCATATTGGGATCGTGGTAACTGCAGAAATATAAAGTTCATAATTAGTAAGATGAAATCATCTCTTTAGTCTTAAAAGTTTTGTTCTTTACCGACCCTCATTGTCTATTTCTAGATGTCAGTTAAGATATGAGGCAGATTTACCTGTATCTGTTGAATCCTTTATTTCAAGTTCAATGGGATACATGCGTTCAACAAAGTCAACATTCTTTGAATTATTCAATAAAAGGAAATCATCTTTATAGCAAAATGTGAAGTTAAGGATAATGCAATCTTCTTTTCAATTCCTCCTTAGAAGCTCCTGTACATGTATGAAGTCTGCCTCAAAAGAAAAAAAGAACAAATATGAGTACAAATGTATATGTTGATCATATGTTAAATTGTTTTCCTAGCCCAGAAATTTAGAAACGATCCAGGTAAACTTATAGATCCTTTAAAAAAACTTATTCGAAAAGGTTACCAAAATCAACACTGTAATTAGATCTTTGAATATTGCTTTTATTGGTATTAATATTGATTTGTTATCAGTAAATTAAAATCAAACTAAATATCATATAGTTATATACATATATATGGATGTTGCATGTGTATTAATTGATAATTTAATTAGTCTTAGATGCATGATTTTTTTTATTAGTTGTTATTGGCTTTGAACTACATGAACTAGCTGTCAGTAACTGTGAGTACTCTCAGATCTATACTTTAAGTGTTTGTGCCTGTCCAAGTCAGGACCCTGTTATTCAGTGGTTAATTAATTGCCATTGTTGCTGTGTTACATACAGTGTTCCCCTTTTTTCACTAAGGTAAGGTGGGTGTTTTGAAAAAAACACTTGCAACGGGGTGTTGTTTTTTTTAAAACATTTCCAACCTGGTTTTTTTTTTACTGTGGGTAGGGGTCACAAAAAGAAGGATTAGTATTGTATTCACATTTAATGGAATTGAACAAAAATAAATAGATGTAGTCACATAAACTGTCAAATATTCTTCTTTGATTTGATTTGACAAATTAGTTTTGTGCATCTCGGATAGCAGCTAGCTAGATGGCTTTTGCAGGACTCCCTTCTCCTGCGAATGCATGGCCTATTGATCCAAGTTTCTGTCCTGTTCCTCGCTTTAGTGCTGTATTTTTGGCACACAGAACAGTAATAATCTTCCTCTGTGACGATTAGCCATTTAAAGTCCTGTTCATATTTATCTTCGCTTGCGTGCCTTTTCCGTTGTTTTGATGCTTTTTTTCAATTTCAACAATTTCAATACAAATATCCATTTTAGTTGACTTATTTGGCCTAGAATTTTCCTTATCACCATCGTCATCTGCCTTTCTCTTCCCCCGATTAATAAAAGAAAACATTGAAATTTGACGATCTGCCATTTTTGTCTATGAAAACAAATCAGCGAGGCGCAATTAGTATTTAAATTTTTACGGTGTGGAACCGAAAAAAAAAAAACGGAATTTGAAAAAAAAGCTGACCACCTGATGGAAAGGTGGTCGGCACAAAACTCTTGACATATTTGTTTTTCGTTCATTTTTTTGTTCATTAATTACTTTAGGCCATTAGTTTTCTAGTTTTTGTTGTTGGGATGTACAAGTACTCATCCATGTCCAATTTGTGTTTTTGTTACATGTAATTCTATTCGTATCCATGAGATGAGTTAGAAGCCTTTTTCAACTGATTTAAAGTTTATAGTTTGTTGTTATGATGTACTGTTACACCACTGTTCCTGGTTAGGGGAAGGGTTGGCGTCTTCAAACTAGTTTAATCCTGCACATTTGTATGTGCCTGTCCCATGTCAGGAACATATGTTACGAATTCAGTAGTTGTTATTTGTTGCTGAGTAATACATATTATTTTTTACATAAATTAGGCCATTAGTTTTCTCGTTAGAATTGTTTTACTTTTTTTTATTTTGGGGCTTTTTATAGGTGACTATGTCATGTATGTGGTGTTGGTTTTGCTCTTTGTTGAAGGGGTACGGTGACCTTATAGTTGTTAATTTCTGTGTCATTTGAAGACCGGCAATGTGGTTTACCCTAAAAACATCTTCTCATATGTGAACTGTTGGTGTCCAATTGTTATTCTTTGTCATATTGTCTGGGAATTGGTCATACCGTATCACTGCTGGATGGGATAGTATCTTGCTCTTAACTTCATCAAAAACTTTAAGGGCATCTGTACCTGAAAATAAGGATTTATTCATGTATGTGAATAATTAGCTAACTAATAGAATAGTTTAGAGGGATTTTTTCCCCACAAAATGACATCATAATACAATATTATCTTTGAAAAAAGCAATACTACTGGAATTTATTCAAGAACTAATTATAAGAAACATTTATTGACATTCAATTCTCTCCATCTTATGGAGTAACGTTTATACATATCTGAACTTGTTCGATTCGCTCGTGTATGTAACAACATATTTGATTTTAATGGAAGAAATTTCTGTATTACTGAAAATTATTACATCAAAGTTTTTGATATCACAAACTAGTCAAAACATTTACGAAATATTATAATCGGTACAAGGACATCATTCATAAATAAAGATCAACATGTAGACATCTTATACGTTCAGGTATTTCACTTTGGATGTGCAATTAAATTTCACATCAAATATTTTATGGTAATATTCTATACAAAGCACAAAAATGTTGTCAGTCACCCCAGTAAACCTCAGTTTATAAAAGTTTAATCTGACTTATTTAGAAGGGATATATAGTAACGATACTGTTTTGGGGTAATTAAAGATGGCATATTTTGGAATTAATATTGATTCATTCATAGGGTCGTTAAATCAGATGTAAACACATTTATTCTAAAACCAGGTACCGGTATTGGCAAGATACAGGATTTTCTCTCTGCATTGAAGACCCATTGGTGGCCTTCGGCTGTTGTCTGCTCTTTGGTCGGGTTGTTGTCTCTTTGACATATTCCCCATTTCCATTCTCAATTTTATGTTCTTCTCATATTTTTAACCATGGTATGATACTACACCCTAAACAGGAGGGATTATGCTTGATTTTCATATGATGAAGACATAATCTGTCAATCAGTTTAGTTCAAATCTGGAACTGGCATGTCAGTAACTGATAGTAGCAGGGATGGGGTAATCGTTATCTGTAATCGTAATTTAATCGATTACAGCAAAAATCATAATGTAATCATCGATTACTTTCGATTACATTTCGATTACTTTAGTAAAATAGTTTGATGAAATATAACCTATTTTAAATGAAAACATTTATGTATTCATCACTTTGAAGTACTGATATGACTTAAGAGTTTATCAACTGCCTTTATATTTCTATCTATTGTCTCAAGCTGCATTATGATCAACCAGATCCCCTACCATAATTTACTTTATATCTAGCTTTTGAAACAAATGGATTTATGTGCTTGTCAATAAGTCAACACCTTTTATATTAAAATAAGAAAATAGATTTGAAATAAGAAAATAGATTTGAAATAAGAAAATAGATTTGAAATAAGAAATGACTGTCTTAAGTTAAGTTCTGTACTTCCTTAAAGTAGTAAGCTTATTTGTATTAAATTTCCTAAAAGCATACTTTTCAATAAGATTTAAGCTTAGAATAGATAAACAGTTGATTTCTTATAATGTTATGATATACATGTATATAGAAAATAAGTACACACAATCCTTTTAACAGTGAACCAATGCCTATGCATTGAAATTCTTTTCAGAAAAAAGATACATGTATCCCTCGTTGACACTATAAATATATACTGTTTATAATTTTATTATAGAATAAAAAAATCTTAAACTTCTTGTCTTTACTAATCAGATGATCAAAGTCTTCTAATCACTATATAAGACACATACTTTGTTTTTATTTCAATTACTGTTTGTCTAATTAAGATGGAGATTTACAATGTTTTGCCCCAGGTTATAAATTGTACTCCATTGGCAGTTTTATAACCTATAATTAAGGTGGTTTTCCAACAAAAGGATTAAATCATGTTTGTCATTATAATTATAAATTTTGATCCTTAAAATTAGCTGAACTAATTAATAATTCTACTTTTTTATACTTTCTTCAGAGAAAACTTCCAACATTGTAAATAATTATGCTAAAATATACCTGCTTTTAATGAATAAAAAAAAAAAGCTACCTTAAGTCAGTACGAAAGCAAAATCATTGAAAAAAACCTTAAACATATATATAAGTGATTGATGGAATGCAATGTCATCTCTAATTCATGTTGAAAGTCAAATTTCAAGATTTTTTTAAATAATTCTGATCCTCAGTAAGATTGATAACAACTGTCAACTTATAATTTGGAAACAATGATTTAAATGCTGTTTTTTGGTAAAGTTCTAAATATCTACTATACAAACGTTGATCAACATAATAGTTTTTAACTTACTTTTTTTTTGTTTTAAATTTTGAAGCATGTAATTGACAGTAATCGAAAAGTAATGTAATTACTTTTGATAAAGTAATCGATTGCAACCGATTACATACAAAAATCTGGGTAATCGATTATTAATCGATTGCACAAAATACCTTCATGTAATCGATTATTAATCGATTACATTTGTCAGTAACCGTGCCCATCCCTGGATAGTAGAACTTTGTAAATTTATGTATCATGGTCATTTTGCTTAGTTTCTTCATTTACAATGTACCTATTCTGACATGTGACTAGGACTTGTGCATAGTGCTGTTTGTTTATTCTACATTGGCTAGAGATGAAGACCTATTTGTAGCCTTTGGATTATTTCTGCTCTTTGGTGGGGTTGTTTTCTCTTAGACACATTCCCCATTTCAGTTCTCAAATGATTCTCAATTTTAGAATGTGTGTTCTTTTGAATTTAAATTTAATGTAATTTGCTGCAACTGAGTCTCCAATAAGAGTAGTATAAATTTTCAATGTTCATTAGAAAGCCAGAAAACGTTAATTCAAGTACAAAATCAGGTGATGTTGAGTACGCTAAAATAAAAGTTTTACATATTCAATAACTGTTCATACATGTATCTGTATCTTGGTTGCTGTTTCAAGTTTTCTTTCAAGTTTTCTTTCCTAATGTTGAGAATTGCCAAAAACTGCAGTCTAGGCACGGAGCTTCAACAAAGAAAATATAAACAAACCATTAGCATAATCAATCTTTTCACACAATATGTAATTATTATATTACCTATACTATTATTATTATATGGCAATTATAACTATTTGAATTTTTTTTCCATATTTTCAGTGTATTTATAACCACACACAAAACACTTAAGCAACACACAAAAAAACCAAGGGACTGGTTAAAAGTAAAACCTACATGCAGTTGTAACAGTGGTTTGATTCCGCCAGTGGAGGATGAAAATCCCAAGTGTTTATAATCCACCAACAAAAATTCACTAGGGTTTTTAATCCAGGTCCAGAGTAAAATATTCACCACTCTTGATAAAATTTTATAGAGAGTTTTTTGAAGGGGAAATGTATAAAAAATGGGGCTTGGTATTTTTGGGGGATATTTGAATTAACTATTTAACTTGCATAGCTGATTTATGTAAAAAATGGACAAAGTAAACTTAGTGTTTTTCATCCATGGAATGTTCACATAAATGTTTTGAACCAGGATTCTGATAATGTAGGATTTATTAATGTCCCCATGAAATAATGTCCACCGGACATTATTTCATAGTAAATACTGTCCATGGACAATATTTACTTATTTAAATGTGTCCCGGACACAATTTCCTATGAAATTATGTCCTCAGGTATGAAAAAGTGTCCATGAACATGGACATTATTTAATACTATAATTCTGTAATTGCTAACTTTAAATACATTGTTACTTTGACAGAGAGTTGTCTCATTGGCACTCATACCATCCTTATCTTCTTATTTTTTAATATATATATATATATATGCACACGTATAAAAATTGCGGTTTTTATCCAACGCAATCATACCAGGTATAAGGTTTGAACGTCGTTTTCAATTTAGACTTGTATATGTTTTCAACATATATATATATATATATATATACATGTATAATGATTTAAATTCAAACAAGTAACAGATGCTGTTCAATATTATTTTCCTTGGAGGACACAATTTGATAACAATTACTACGAAAACTAGTCCTGTAGGTGGACCATATTTCATAACTTTTGCTGTAAAATTCTGTCCACTTAGGGGACAATATTGCATGGCAATGGACATTATTATTTAATACCAAAATTCAATATTTTCTTTTGCCTTCTTCTCATGATAAATATAGTTAAGTTCTTCACATTTGATTTTATACTTTACACACTCCCTTCTTATTGTTCTTCTTTCATTGTTATTAGCATTAGCTGGGTATTTCTTAGAACTTAAATGTATCTATATTCACTTCCATCCATTATTTGTTTGTTTATATAAATCAATTTCTACTCAATCCTTCTGATTTTATTAAAATTTCAAGTACAATAAAACTTTTTAATGACCTTTGTATTACTTCCCTTGGAGGACACAATTTAATAGCAACTAGTATGAAAACTTGTCCTGTGGGTGGACACTATTTCATAACTTTTGCAGTAAAAATCTGTCTACTTGAGGGACAATATATCATGGCAATGGACATTATTAAATACCAAAATTCTATGAAAAACTGTCCAACTGGACACTTAATTTTTCACAGGACACTATTATGGCTTACAATAACACTAGTGATTTTGAACCAGGAATTATTACACTACTGACTAGTGATTTTGTACCTGGAATGATTGCACTAGTTACTTTGAACTGGGATTTATCACACTTAAGTATTTAAGATTCATATACAGTGATGTCTTCTGATGAACTATTTTAGTACTCACTTTGAACACTACATGATAACACAATATAATGATTTATTTACAAATTAAATTTTGATAATTTTTCTAATGAAAACCATCAATTAAATCATATAATATATGCTTTTAAATTGTCACTAAATTGTAATATTCATATATACTGGATTGCCAAAGTTTTTCTGTGCATTTGCGTTTTGGTAGACTTCGATATAAAATCATATCTTCAATGTCAATATCTATTTATAATGAAACTGGTTCCTTGAAAACTATTCTAATTTTAACCTATTAATTTATGTATTAAACAATAAACTGGTCTAATATAAACACAAGAGTGCACATCCTGAAATGTCTCGCCTTCTTAAATACTAATCATTGATATTATGTTGATAGTCCTAAATATAAAGCTTTACTACAACTATCACATAAACTTAACATGATCCAAGAAAATGAGGTCACTGTCATATAAACCAAACAAGAAATACATGTACATCTTACAATTATTCAATACACAAAATATAGCTGACCTATTGCTTATAGTTTCTAAATTAAGAAACAGACTTAACCAAGAAAACTAAACATTGACCAATGAACCATGAAAATGAGGTCAAGGTCAGATGAACCATGTCAGACAGAGATGTACAGCTTACAATTCTTCAATACAACAAATATAGTTGACCTATTGCTTATGGTTTAAGAAAAACAGACCAAAACACAAAAACTTAACACTGAGCAATGAACCGTGAAAATGAGGTCAAGGTCAAATAAAACCTACAAGACTGACATGTACATCATAAAATAATTCCATACACCAAATATAGTAGACCTATTGCATACAGTATAAGAGAAATAGACCAAAACACAAAATCTTAACTATAACCACTGAACTATGAAAATGAGATCATGGTCAGATGACACCTGCCAGTTGGACATGTACACCTTACAGTCCTTCCATACACCGAATATATAAGACCGATTGCTAATAGTATCTGAGATATGGACTTGATCACCAAAACTTAACCTTGTTCACTGATCCATGAAATGAGGTAGAGGTCAAGTGAAAACTGTCTGACGGGCATAAGGACCTTGCAAGCTACGCACATACCTTACCATATATAGTTATACTATTACTCATAATGAGAGAGAAATTAACATTACAAAAAATCTTAACTTTTTTTTCAAGTAGTCACTGAACAATGAAAATGAGGTCAAGGACAATGGACATGTGACAGACGGAAACTTCGTAACATGAGGCATCTTTATACAAAGTATGAAGCATCCAGGTCTTCTACCTGCTAAAATATAAAGCTTTTAAGAAGTTAGCTAACGCTGCCGCCGGATCACTATCCCTATGTCGAGCTTTCTGCGACAATAGTCACAGGCTGGACAAAAACAATGATCAAGATCGACGCTTTCACACTATTTACATCCAATATTCTCTAGTGAAAAACAGTCACCTGGAATAAAAACAGGGTGGAATGAAATTACACTTACACAGCCAGGGTAAGTGATGTTGACATTGCCGGTATGTCATTAGGTCTTACCTTGTTGATACTTAAACATGTGCTTGTGGATTACTCATTTAGCTGAGTTGGTAGAGCAGAGACTTTCTGTGCAAAGGGTCACAGGTTAAAATTCCGATTGGTACAGTAATTTATTTTGGAAAGCAAATAATGATCTCTGGGTTATGTGTAATTGTATTTGCAATTTTGGTATTTAGCTGAATTTTGTCTCCTTGTACAAATGTAACCTGAGATCAAATCTGCACTTGGTCAAATTGGTACCTTGTTAAATCGGCACCCGATGTAGTCATTTCGCCACCCATGTTAAATATTTTCAGTATTTGAAGCAAATAGATTAAAATAAACAAGGCGTTGTCTAGAAATATTGACTTATTTTCATTTTTGGGTGGTTTCTGTGCATGTATTTTTTCCATTCAACTTGATGTGTATTCGCGGTATTTATAGATATTTTTATGCATGTTTTAACCAGAGACATATATATGTCTCTGTTTTAACCAACATGACTAAAGGAGAATTTTCCATTATTGTTGGTTTAATGCTGTTTAAACTTTCCTGAAAAAAACCCACCTTAATTGACATTCAAGGTTGATTAGTGATAGTAATGAAAGGGACTCATAATTTCCCCTTTTCCTACTTCTAATTTTCTCATGATCAAACAACAACAGCTTGTGTAATGGCTTCATGTATTTTACTAAGTTTTTAAAGTAAAAAAACATCAATAACAACCTGTTTAGATTTAAAACAAACAAACATGTTAATAAATTATGTAATAATAACTGTAATTGATAAAAGTTATTAATATCAATTGAAAAGATAACTATTCAAAACGTCAGTCATAGATTGTTGAGAAAACTTATAATATGTATTCTAACTGCTTGGTGATTTTTAACTATACATGCTATATGTAGATGTAATGAGTAATATAAATTAAAAAGATAAAGCCAAACCCCAACAATAATTTAAAGATAGAAAGATCATTTATACATTTTTACTGAGATTTTTTGAATTATTTATCTGTTTATATTGTATCAAATAATGAAATATTATTGGATTTGACTAGATGCCGATTTAAGGTAGCACTACAGTCTAACAATGATTTTTTGAAGATATTTTTTTTATCACATAATTTTGAAGTAAGTATTATTCTGCACAGTTTGTAAAAATCCCAAAGTCATTATCATATCACAACAGGGAGTAAATCGATAATGAACTTATGTAAATAAAAGCACATGGTAATTTGGGAGGGGCTAATATGTCAATCATCTGTTGATACCAGTGTCCAGCTGTTAATCCCTGACCACAAGATAAATATCTCATTGCATTGCAACAAAACTAATTTATAAAACATGGAAGTTTAGAACAGAGAAAAAGAAAAAGATATGAATAGGAAAAAATCTACCAAAATGAAAAAAAAACTACGGAAAAGAGTGTGAAAGTATCTTTGAAAGCCTCTGACTGCCTGTATAAATTTCTCGTCTTTGGTCTTCTACATTTAAAAATAATATTAGGCATTTTAACTAATTTTAAGTTTATGTGAAATTTTTTAATTCCATGAAACTCATAAATCATGTTGGACAGTCTATTTTCAAGAAGGGGATGGTCTTGATCTTTTTATGGACATGTATTTTAATTTTAATATTTTAACTAATTTCAGTCATCATGGTCATATTATATTTCTTTTTAAAATTCAAATGAAAATTATTCTTTATAGTGAGAATAATGATATGTTAAATATTAATTATGATGCAGCTGGCCAATCCTGTTATTCTCTTATCTTAGACTGTCTGGACAGAGGCGGAGCTTTGTCTTTATTTAATTACTACATCACAGATGTTGGTCAAATCTGTGACGTCAAACTCCCGCCAAATGCAAAGTTATTGTTATACAGTGCACACAAAATGCAAATTTTACAGCATTAGAGCATCAAAGACACAATGTGTGTGGTTCTATTGATAAAGTAATGGTGTCAGAACACTCCTGGGGTGTTCCCAGTGGAATTTTTGTATTTATGTGGCATTTATAGGGGTTCTTAAGAGGAAATTCAGTTTTAAGGTCATTTCTCAGAACAATTTTTCATGAGAATTGTAAGGAAAAAATGAAAATAGAAACTTTATGGGTACCCCCTTTGGCTTGACTTTGATATATGTGATTGAAGGGAGTATTTTCTACAATACCGTGTCCCAGTTTTTGGATAATTTGTTTCTAAATGAATTTATTGGTCTCCAAAGATGAAAGGTGAAATGAGGTTTGACATCCAGCAGTAAAAATAATATATCTTATTACTGGAGGCATATATCAAAAATCTGAGACACGGTTTTGTAGATTGTGAATGATTGATTAAAGGGATGAAAACAAATTTTTACTACCATTTGACCTGAATGTGCCATTTTCATCCAAGTTGGAAGACCACTTTTTTGGCAATTAATGAGCTATATTTTGAGATTAATCATACCAAAAATAAATTTATCTATAGATTAAGAAAGAGTTATATTTCAGCTTTAAAATGAGTTAAAGATTTTTAAAATCCATTGAGTAGTTTTGGAGAAATTAATCTTTAAAGACTGTTGGTTGGAGTCAGAAAATTCTGACTGTAGTGCTACCTTAACCAGGTGCCGATTTGACTTGTACCCCCACCCCCCTCGGATATTTATCATTCTGTTACGAGGGAAAAGATAGTACTTTCACAAACGTCAATGTTGACATTGTACAGATGCAGGATCCGCTCACGGTTTTTGAGAGTGTTTGAAATGTTAGGTCGTGTTAACATGAAACAGTAATGCTAAACCATGTCAGTATCGACCCCTGTTATGCGCTTGTCTATATATTTTTACCGATACATGCTTTCATGGCAAATAAATCATAGAATACTTACCTTTGATCGCTTCAAAATTCCAAAAATGGCGGCTGGAAACTTACAAATAACACGTGACTCGTGACGTACGTTGTAGATCTGGGTGCATACCTAAAAGTAGCACCGAGGTTTAGCCTAGATTCCAATAAAAATAATTTAGAACATTAAAAAATAAATCGAGTGATAAACGGGGCGATAAATAGGTTAAAACATTTATAAATCCTGGTTTATATTTGATATATATTTGTAACTGCTTTTCCAAAAAATGCGTCTTAATTCATGTAAACGAAAAAATATATCTTAAAAAATATTACACTGCGAAATTGTCTTATAACATATTCTTTATTCAAGAGCGCTCAAAATAGTAAACAATACCATGGCACATGAACATATTCTCAAAAATTATATATACAGATTATGCACATGCAATGTACAGATTATTCTCAATAATTGTTATGAAAAGTATGCTTCGCATTATGTCGATTTATGTCATATAATGCTTATTTAATAAATTTCGTATCCAATCCATCATGCAGGTATGGATAATCCAACTGTTATGTTTAAGGATGTTTGCTACTCTGTTTCAAAATAACAAGACTGTTATGAATTTATAGAATATCATAACGGAACTTAAAAAGAAGAAAAAAATGATAGGTCCGTGTGCTTGTTTTTGAGATATAAGCCATTGAAAATTTGGCGGGAAATGATTCTCTCTAGATTTTTCATAAAATTAACATTGGCAGCATTTTCTTTCAAAAACTATGAAAAAATAACAAGGTTTTATAAGATTTTCAAATATGACTTTTTAATCTATATGTAATAAAATTATGAAAAGAAAAGTAGGGCTTAATGGGCAAATTTTTTAATGGGTACTAAATGGATAAAACCAGAGGATTCCGAATATCTGACAAAAATGAGCGAACATCCTTAAGTCATATATGCTTATTTTGATACATTTTGCATCATGCTGGAGTGAGAACTGAGGTATCATCTAACTGATCCGTCATAGCAACTATTTTCCAATAAAACCTAAAAAGATGAAGAAAAAAATGAATATAGTTTCATTTTTCAGTCTGATGTTTATTGGCCAAAGAGCTATTG